TGATTAGTGGAGTACTTATTTCTGGTTTGTGTTGTGTGGTGTGATTAGTGAAGTACTTATTTCTGGTTTGTGTTGTGTGGTGTGATTAGTGAAGTACTCATTTCTGGTTTGTGTTGTGTGGTGTGATTAGTGAAGTACTCATTTCTGGTTTGTGTTGTGTGGTGTGATTAGTGAAGTACTCATTTCTGGTTTGTGTTGTGTGGTGTGATTAGTGAAGTACTCATTTCTGGTTTGTGTTGTGTGGTGTGATTAGTGAAGTACTCATTTCTGGTTTGTGTTGTGTGGTGTGATTAGTGAAGTACTAATTTCTGGTTTGTGTTCTGTGGTGTGGTTAGTGAATTATTTATGCCTGGTAATTTTTTTGTATGATTAGTGATTTCTCTTATGTTTTACTGTGTAATTTGTTATCACTGGTTTCTGGTATGTATATTTACTATATTCATGGTTAGTGGATTACAGGTTTCTGGTATGTTTTGTGTGTCTCATTAATGGATTACTAGTATTTCTGGTATGTTTTATGTCTGATTAATAGTCAGACATAAAACATACCAGAAATACTAGTAATCCATTAATCAGACATAAAACATACCAGAAATATTAGTAAACCATCAATCAGACACATAAAACATACCAGAAATACTAGTAATCTATTAATCAGACATAAAACATACCAGAAATACTAGTAATCCAATGGATTACTAGTATTTCTGGTATGTTTTATGTGTCTGATTGATGGATTATTAGTATTTCTGGTATGTTTTATGTCTGATTGATGGATTACTAGTATTTCTGGTATGTTTTATGTCTGATTGATGGATTACTAGTATTTCTGGTATGTTTTATGTTTGATTAAAGGATCACTAGTATGTTTTGTGTGTCTGATTAATGGATTACTAATATTTCTGGTATGTTTTGTGTGTCTGATTAATGGATTACTAGTATTTATGAGATGTTTTATGTCTGATTAATGGATTACTAGCACTTCTGGTATGTTTTCTGAATTTAAATTGCAAGAAAATCACTCGTACATGGAAAAATAATGTGAAATTGATTTATTTACTTATTCTAGTGTCTTACCTGATAATTTACAGAAAGACATTACTTACGTAGCTTATATTTGTGAAATAATCAGAAACCTAAGTAAAAATCTTGTTAAAGTGACTTATTTAAATTACTCTCAATATCACTACAGGCTACAAACAAAATGGTATACAACTTGATGATGTTATCCTGCCACCTTGGGCAAAAGGAGATTCCCGGGAATTCATCAGAGTACATAGACAGGTAGGATTACAATATTCTTTTGATTTTTCCCTTGAAAACCTTTAAGTTTACATTTTTATGGAGATTTTATTAAGAACATATCCTGCTAGGACAATAGTAAATAGCCTCTCATACTTGCAATGCTCTGAGATTTTCTCAAAACCTGTAGAAAATGTTTTGTTTTGTAAGAAAGTTCGTATACTCATTTTGTGTATACTTTAGAAGCAGTCATCAGCCCTCATGCACATTAAAATGTTTTCTTAATATGACTGCATATCTCTTATGATGACCAAATATTTCAGTATAATAAAACCACAGAAAGATGAAAAAATCGGCTTTTGTTTGGACACGCTTTTATTTTTTTGCATGATAGTGAATGTCCAAGTATAGTTCATGTTTTGATAAAGATAACAAAAAGAAATAACCGTGTTTTGATGTTTCCCAATTAATTTTCCCTAAGCACTGCCTCTGTTTTTTTGTTTTGAGGTTTAAATAGTAAAACAGTGAATGTAAAGCAAAATGTTTGTCTGTCAGCTCTTCATATGAAAGGGGTTCTGATAAGAGGGAAAAAGAAGTAAGTTACTATTTCATCTACAAGACAAGTATTTTTGAATTTCACCTTGAAAGATATTTATTACTGTCAAATTCTGATTATAAGTTGCTCTGAAATGCACAAGACAACTTGTTTTCTGGAAGTATCTGCTCAAAGAAATGCTACTCCATCTGTAAACTATGTTATGAGCCAGCTATATAGCATAGTAGTAAAAAAAAAACAAAACTATCGAGTCTAGACCCGTGTTATGTCTGTGTGTAGTAACTGAGAAACCTTCCATAATATTAACCTCTATATTGAGGCTTCTTTGAGATCTTGAGGTAATTTGATGGTACTATACAACACAAACCATGATGCATTATGTCTGAATGTAGTAATTGAACAAATTTACATAATATTAACTTTTGTTCTGAGGCTTCTTTGTGATCTTGAGGTAATCTGTTGGTACTGTACGACACGAACCATGATGCATTATGTCTGAATGTAGTAATGGAACAAATTTACATAATATTAACTTTTGTTCTGAGGCTTCTTTGTGATCTTGAGGTAATCTGTTGGTACTGTACGACACGAACCATGGTACAAAAAAAGTATTTAATGTAATTTTAATGTTAATTCTGCCTCTTGTCTCTTATATATTTGAAGTTGAATGGATAAGAAACAAAACGTATAATTCTGCCCATCTACAAATTGGTTGACTCTTTTAAGTGACTGGAAAGTAGAAGTATTTCAACTTATGATGGGATACACTGAGTACAGTCATGTTGTTGAATTAATTGTTCTTCTTTAGAACGTTTCAAGTAAAACGAATAATTTATTTTCAGTTTTGTGTGATATTTGTAATAAGTTATTGTAAATACATACCCTATACAATGTCATGTATGCAAGTTTTAGAATGTTCTTTCTGGTTCTACAATGTCCAATCAGAAGAAGCCTCACATCTATTCATGTTTTAATTAAAATCATGTTTTCTAATTTTGTGGTTAGGGTGCTCAATGCTCAATCTGCGGGTCATGGGTTCAAATCCCGTCACTGAACATGCCCACCCTTTCAGCTGTGGGAGCATTATAATGTGATGATTAATTCCAATTTTTGTTGGTAAAGAGTAGCCCAAGAATTGGCATTGGGTATTGTTGACTAGTTGCCTTCCTTTTAGTCTATTACTTCACAATTAAGGGCAGCTAGCACAGATAGCCTTAGAGTAGCTTTGTGCAAAGTTCAACAAACAAACAAACTTTCTGATCTTGTGTAATTTAATATCATTATTATACTTTATTTTTGCTTATTTTTTTTTTGCTCCCTGGGAAAAAACACTAGCTTAGAAACATCTTCATTTTATTCTAACCAAAATGTAATAATTCAAGTATTTTATTTTCTGTAAGTTTTTTGGAGAAAGAGAAATAATAGTTCAGTCATTAATTTTTTGATTCAGGAACTAAATATAGTTAAATCTTCTTTCTTTGTCGTATGGCCTCCAGAAAAAATATATATGATTTCTTCTTTCTCCATTACCCGATCGCCCCCCAGTGGCACAGTGGTATGTCTGCGGACTTACAACGTTAGAATCCGAGTTTCGATACTCGTGGTGGGCAGAGTACAGATAGCCCAATGCGTAGCTTTGTGCTTAATTACAAACAAACAAGATTACCTGATCAGTAATGTAAGGGCCCGGCATGGCCAGGTGGTTAGGGAGCTCAACTTGCAATCTGTGGGTTGCGGTTCGAATCCCCGTCACACCAAACATGCTCGCCCTTTTAGCTGTGGGAGCATTATAATGTGACGGTCAATCCCACTATTCATTGGTAAAAGAATGGCCAGGTGGTTAGGGAGCTCAACTTGCAATCTGTGGGTCACGGATTTGAATCCTTGTCACACCAAACATGCTCACCCTTTCAGCTGTGGGAGCATTATAATGTGACAGTCAATCCCACTATTTGTTGGTAAAAGAGTAGACCAACAGTTGTCGGTGGGCGGTGATGACTAGCTGCCTTCCCTCTAGTCTTTTCACTGCTAAATTAGGGATGGCTAGCACAGATAGCCCTCATGTAGCTTTGAGCAAAATTCGTAATAAACCATAAACCATGAGTAACGTAAACATTCTTACATATTGATAGTGTTTTAAACTAGTGAGGAACTGGTATAAGCTTACATTATTTATGAGATGTGTATGTGTGGATATTTATTTGACAAAAGCCATGTTTTAATCACAGTATCTATTGCTTTTCAGGCTTTAGAGAGTGACTATGTTAGTGCTCACCTACATGAATGGATTGATTTGATTTTTGGATACAAACAACAAGGGCAGCCAGCAGTGGAAGCTGTGAATGTCTTTCATCACCTTTTCTATGAAGGAAATGTAGACATTTATAGCATTGAGGATCCACTGAAAAAGAATGCCACAATTGGTTTTATTAATAATTTTGGACAGATTCCTAAACAAGTAAATATCATTGTATTACTACATTATCATTTATTTATAACTTAGTGAGATTTTGCTCATTTATTTGCTCAGTTTACATTATATATATATATATATTACATCTATATTATGAGTATTTCTAATTATTTAGTGTAAGTTTTTGTATTATGCTGCTTGTTTCCACATTTAATTTTTTCAGTGATCATTATAACAGCACTGTCTTCCTCAGTGTGTGTGTTTCAGTGTTACTAGAACTTAACTGCCTGATTATAACACCATTGTCTTTCTCAGTGCATGTCTCAGTGTTACTAGAACTTAACTGCCTGATTATAACCAACTGTTTCCCTCAGTGCGTGTTTCAGTGTTACTAGAACTTAACTGCCTGATTATAACCAACTGTTTCCCTCAGTGCGTGTTTCAGTGTTACTAGAACTTAACTGCCTGATTATAACACCACTGTTTCCCTCAGTGCGTGTTTCAGTGTTACTAGAACTTAACTGCCTGATTATAACACCACTGTCTTCCTCACTGTGTTTCAGTGTTACTAGAACTTAACTTCCTGATTATAACACCACTGTCTTCCTCAGTGTGTTTCAGTATTACTAGAACTTAACTGTCTGATTATAACACCACTGCCTTCCTCAGTGTGTTTCAGTGTTACTAGAACTTAAATGTCTGAATTAATGATCTTATTTACTCTCTTTATTATGTCAGTCAGTGTTTTTAATTTGAACACCATGTGCTTTCATTGTTTTAATCCATTATTTATAGTGTTTATACACTTCTAAGGCTTTTTATGTTGGCATGTTATCATTTTTCATGGTCTGTTTATTCCCATCCTAGCTAAAATATATCATCATAGTGTTAATGTCTGTTTTGTTTTTTACTTTAAGATTTCAGTTTGTTTTCTTTAAAAATAAATCCTAAAGGCCATGTGTCAAAACTGCTTCCAGCTAAAGTAGTTACAGCTCAGTATGTCAGTTTGTGTATTGTTATAAAATTAGTGGTCTAATTGTAGTAGAAAATATAGTAATTTTTTCAGGTGTAAAAATTTTTACTAATTCAAGTCAAATCAAGTAGAAACTACCTTTTTGAGGAGATTTTCATGACTTAATTATTGGCAATTGATCTGAAGGGGGTGGGGGATTTAATCAAAATTTTGAAATACATAGAAAGTGAATATAAAACATAAATTGTGTAGTTGGAAATAGTTTTGTAGTTCTAAGGAAAAGTTTCAAAAATTCAAATTTTTTAAAATTACATATTTGTGTAAGAGTTGTTTATTGATTACAATTAAAACCTGGTTGAGGGTTTAGAAGGTACAATTTGTTTTTAAATAAGTTGTTAGGAAATATGAAATTAGTATTTAACCTATCAGTGCCAAGGTAAACTATACTAAGCATTGGGAACCTATTACTTATTTCCTGTGCTAATCTTCATTCAAAACAAAATTTATATCACATATATTACATATTTAGTCTATTGAGTTACAGTTTTTAGGGTAGAAAACTGGACATTGAGTATTTACTCTTAAATTTATTGGCATTCTTGGTGTTCAGGGTCAAAAACTGGACATTAGGTGTTGTTTTAGGGATATTTAAGCAGTGTAAATATGGTAGAGCTTTGACTTTACTGGACTGCTAGTGCATGTTTTTAGAGTTGGATGAAGTTTCAGCTTTGATCCGAAGAACACCTCTGTATAAAAGTCTATCTAGAAACAGGCAGGAGCAGTCCATTAAAACCAAACCTCTACCAGATATTAGGTATTCATTTCATTTCCCGAGTTACTGCCAACTGTGGGTCCAGCTAGGGGTGAAGGAAACAATACAAGGTAGGTTGTATAGGACTATGGGTCTACCTAAGGATAAAGTAAAAGTACAGAGTAGGCTGTATAGGACTATGGGTCTACCTAAGGATAAAGTAACAGTACAGAGTAGGTTGTATAGGACTGTGGGTCTACCAAAGGATAAAGTAACAGTACAGAGTAGGTTGTATAGGACTGTGGGTCTATCTAAGGATAAAGTAACAATACAGAGTAGGTTGTATAGGACTGTGGGTCTAGCTAATGGTGAAGGTAACAGTACAGAGTAGGTTGTATAGGACTGTAGGTCGAGCTAAGGGTGAAGGTAACAGTACAGAGTAGGCTGTATAGGACTGTAGGTCGAGCTAAGGGTGAAGGTAACAGTACAGAGTAGGTTGTATAGGACTGTAGGTCGAGCTAAGGGTGAAGGTAACAGAACAGAGTAGGCTGTATAGGACTGTAGGTCGAGCTAAGGGTGAAGGTAACAGTACAGAGTAGGTTGTATAGGACTGTAGGTCGAGCTAAGGGTGAAGGTAACAGAACAGAGTAGGCTGTATTGGACTGTAGGTCGAGCTAAAGGTGAAGGTAACAGAACAGAGTAGGCTGTATAGGACTGTGGGTCTAGCTAAGGATGAAGGTAACAGTACAGAGTAGGTTGTATAGGAATGTGAGTCTAGATAAGCGTGAAGGTAACAGTACAGAGTAGGCTGTATTGGACTATGGGTCTAGCTAAGGATGAAGGTAACAGTACAGTGTAGGTTGTATAAGACTGTTTTAAAGCATAATAATCTAAAGAGCACTTTCATCTCTATGCTTAAGCATTTGGAACTCTTGACCCTATAACTGATCTGGCACCATGCTGGTGGAGTAACATTGTTTAGTAACAAGAGATGTCATGCTGAACATATGTAGCATGTGAAAAGGTATCATGTGTCAGTAATATAATGTATGCATTATATGTGTTTATTTTTTATTCTACGGTATCTGGTTACATGGAAGTGAAATTCATATAAAGTACATTTCTGTATATTCTACAATCTGAGTATTTTAGTACCTACATATATCCTTATTTGGATCAAGCTCAGTTATAATATATATATATAATATATATATATATATATATATATATATA